ACACCTTTCATGTCCGACCACATCCTTGTATCTCCAAGGAGACCATGCGCAATCAACAGTCGACCTTACTAATCATATGCTACGCACATGCGCGTCCCCAGAGTTTTTCGCTCAAATAATGGTGACCTAAAAGACCTTCCAACGATACGGTTCTTGCCCCTTGGTGGACCAGCTAGATTAACTCAAGTCATTACTCCTCATCTCGCAACAACGACTTAGGGGGCTCCTATTCTGGACTGGATTGACACATGCCCCATAGTTGGGCAAAGCCCAATCCAGTATAGCTTAAGGCCAGGTCCAATATAACCGTGGGATACAATATATCCGTTGGGCACAATATAACCATTGGGCACAATATAGCCGTTGGAGCATATAGCCGTTGGGGACATCCCCCTCACGCGCTTGACAGTTTATGCGACCAACTGCCCCTCTGAAAGTCACGGGGACAGTTGGACCATGTCAAAGATCACACACTAGATCTTCCACCTGGCAGTCCCTCATTGGCCGATCAGATATTTTGGTCACATGGGGGATCTTGTCCCCGCATTGGAGGGAATCTCATAAATACCCTATCTCTTGAGAGGGCCAGGTATTCTAATAATTCTTACTCATACCTAAACACTCGTATTTGCTTTCTCTCTAGCCCAAAAACTTACTTTGCCATCGGAGTACCTTGCAGGTACACCCTCTCCTTTTCTACAACCACTGTTGCTGCCCTACATTGAAGGCCAAAACGATTCATTCTGATCACACCAGATCAGGCATCTTATGATTTGAGCTAATACTTAGTAAGTTAAGTTTTCACTCATCCCCGAATAGATTGGTAGATAAACTTTGAACCAATTATTCATTGGAACAAGCCTACATAACTCACACATGAAATCTCGGTACCATTGGTCGAATTATTGAATATGACGTATTTAATAAGGCCTTGTGTCTCATATGCTTTTCATGAGATTTTAAGAGTCAAGCCCTTGAACTCTATGAAGCGACACCACTTCATTCTCATATAGGTAGACTATATAAAAAATGCACCTATAATTATGCGTTCCAGCAAACATATGCTATATGTCTATTAAGAGGAAAACCTAATCCTACCATATTTATTCTTATGGTCCAAGTACTTTTATCCCTTGGGATGTATCTATCGTTAAGTACTTCAATCACTCTAATAATGTACTTTCATTATTGAACTCAAGACTTAATGTTAATCAAGTGTGAGTTGAGTTTTTACTATCAATGACTAATTAGATATGAGCTTGTTCCACATCCCTAATGATGTCTTCATTGTCTTCAATGTTATATCCAAAGACATCATATCTTTGTCAATCCTTTCGTCAAAGAATTGCAATATTTTCAAACTTTAACAAACTTTAAATATTCAATCTTTCAACCACTGTAATTAATTTATGCACTCTTGATAATATTCACCAACTATCATCAAACTATGACACTTTTGTCACATTTGGTATAATTATCATATATAAAATACATTTATATTCTTGATAATTTTGATAAACTATCACCATGACACTTTTGTCATTGATTTTGCCATATACAAATTTTTTTATGTCATTCTTCATTTACTAACCTTTTTAAATTGAAGGTTTACTTCCACTTAAATATATCTGAAATATATTCAATTCATTAAACATTTATAGCAATCGACAACCACGACCAAACAAATTTGTCATGACTAACTTTTATTTCATAAAGTAAATTCAAACATGTAATTCATAAACTCTATATAAATACAACACCATAGAATTCATTTCTATTCTTTTTAAAATAAAAATATTTCTTGCATAACTAATATGCACAATAAATTTTATGTGATAAATTCATGTTTCATATTTAACAATGTTCTATGATATATCCAAATAAGAATCACAAAATGAACAATAAATCAACATCACTAATATTTCTTGTAACGTTTCTCGACGAACACTTATCAACTTACACCAAGATAAAATATATCCAAATTACTTTTAATATCAGGAAGAACAAAAACAATACTTTCATATTATGATACACATATAATATGAGATACACCATTTTAAATGTAATAAATTCTTGCAAAAACTAAAATACAATTTAAACATGTCATTGATATTTCTAACATTTTATTTACATCATTTCATATTACCAATACATGCACCATACATTTAATTCATGATTTTTTTCCACCAAATTATTTTATCTAAAATTTATGCATTATTAATTAAAACAAATTACTTGCACCAAAAACAATATTTAACATGTATTTTATATTCAAGTATACACCATAAACCAAACATATTCTTAACTATTCAAATTACATACTTGAATAATTTATAAGTCATGCATATATAAATTTATTCCATATGTTAAACTTAACATAAATAAATATTAGGCTTAATACCGCTTTTGGTCCCTTAACTTTACTCAATGTTTCGCTTTGGTCTCTTAATTAAAAAACGTTACATAGTGGTCCACTAACTAACATTCTGTTACATATTTTGGTCCCTTCCGTTAATTTTTTAGGAAAAATATTAAATGTAGCCTTGCTGGACCATTTAAAGTTGACATAATTTTTTTTTAATATTTTATATTAATTTAAATATTAGAAATTTGCTGGACCATTTAAAACTGACCTGTAATTTTTTTAATTTTATATTAATTTAAATAATAGAAATAAATAAAATAAGAAGTTGAAAGATCCATGGATACCCATCATCATTTTTGCCCCATTAATTTCTCTCAATTTCTTTTACCCTAAACCCACAAATCCTTTTCCTACATAAAACTCATCCCTTTCATCACTCCCACACCCTCCTTCTATGTTTAACCAATGTCATTTGTGTTTTTTCATCTAGTCAAAACCACCCAACACTAAAATTTTGATTTTTAATCTCACCATTTTGATGGTGTTCTCTATTAGCACCACTCATTTAAACTCCTTTCATGGCTGAAAGCTTTGACAATTGCCTAGAGAGGATTATTTGATGAGATTGTGAAGTTGTGACTTGGATTTGATTGTTAGGAGAGAGACTCTTGATTGAATTTGGAAGGTTGGTTTGTTGTTAGTTTTCTGAAATGAATTTTTTTAAATTCTTTTGTGCCACTAAAATTCATATTTTTAATCAATGGTTGTTGAAAAATGAAACTTTTTAATGTTTAAGAGATTCTTACATTGTTAGTTCAAGTGATTCTAATATGACTTTAGTTATTATAAATTGTATCTTTCAATGTCTTTTTTCTTTCAATATTGTAATTCACTGAATTCTGCTTTCAAGATGTGCTGGTGAAACATCAATTTGATTTTTTTAGGAGATACAGAGGTCGCAGTAAATAGGATGAAAAGGTCTTGTCCTTTAAAGAAAAAAATATTTTTATACAAAAGCTGCTTATTTGGCATGCCAGCTCAACAATAGTTAACCTTTTTTCACACAAACTAACAATAGGGGTTCAAATGATTCAACGGAAGTGAAGTTAATGGATCGTTGTGTAACGTTTTTTAGTTCGGAGACCAAAGCGAAACTTCGTTCAAAGTTAAGGGACCTAGGAACTAGTTATGCCTAAATATTATTTTCAACATATTTTACATGAATTTAAAACATTATATAAATGACATATTTATTTAATATAATTATGTACCTTTCACCATATTGATGAATAAGAAAGCACATATGTTCATTTCTCCATTGTAGTTACAAATTAACCACAAACAAAAAGATTCATAAATCAAAATTCCATAATTTTAAAATTATATGAATTAACTGTGTACCTTTCACCGACATTGAAAGTTATTACCATTTTCTTTAAAATTGCATACTTTAATATTAATTATAATTAAAGTATGAATTAAAATCGAAAATCGAACCTAAAGATTGTTAGATCTTGTGTTGGGGGTCTGCTGCAAAACATTAACAAGAAGATGAAAACGGTACGGTAAAAGTTGCACAAAATAAATTTCAAAGCGTGTATTTACATTAAGCTTTAAATTCGATTCACCCCACCAATTTATGCAAATTTGATGCAAAAGGGTTAATCGGCGAATCCCCTTCAACATACTTTAGAAACCTTAACATGAATCGCACATTCATATTAAACATATCGATCAACAATATTTTATAAAATAATATTACATTATTTATTCTTATGCATTAGAAAAATAAAAGAACGACTTAGATATAATATTTAACATTTGAAACAAATAATTTTTTGTCTTCTTTATATCTAACAACTATTCTAGTGCAATAGTTAAGAGAAGATGTAATGTTCATCAAATAGAGGGATATGTGGAGAAAGAAAAAGAACACAAGATTTACAAGTTACATAAAGCTTGTATGGCTTAAAGCAAGCCACTAGAACATGGTTCAGCCGCATAAATTCTGAATTTGTGAAGGAAGATTGAAATTCCCATATTTCAATGTTTGTTTTAGGTTTTCACAAATGATTCATTTTTATTCTTAAAAATATAATTTATTCATAAATTTCTTATTTTTTATTCCCATAGAATATTTTTAAAAAAATTCTTATCCATTCAATTTGTTGAACAGTATATCTTTAGTGAGCTATTTTAGAGTTTAGTAAAACTATTTTAGAATTTTGAGTTTCTAAGATATTCTATATCTATAAAATTAAGGCAATTATTTTACTTACATTAAACTCACTTAAAATTTAAATTTTCCAAAAGAAATAAATTAGCCAAAATATCTTCATCTATCAAACAAAACATTCTTTACAAAAAATCATAAAATTACTTCACAAAAAAGTGATTTTAACACCCCCGTGAGTCACCGATCTTTGTATTTTTAAGTTTTTCAAGTTTTTTTATTGTAAAACCTTTCCATTTTCCGACAACGGCGGCGGGGCTACCTACCACACACAACACGACACAACCCTCGTACCTCTCTCTTTTCTTATGTTTCTGTGAAATTCATGTTGTCTGAAATGCCATTCTTAATTGGAACATTTTGATTCATTTTCTTGTTGTTGTGTTTGTTATTCAGGTCTTAATGGGTGTGATTCATTTTCAAAGTTCATCCACTTTCTGTTCCAATTTGCAGCATCAACTGAATCGAAGGAAATTTGTGACCATGGCTTCAATCGTTCCTGTTGAACAAGTCAATAGTGGTTCTCTTCAGGTTACTGGTGATTCCTTTATCAGACATCATCTTAGGAAATTGGCTCCTTATCAACCCATTTTGCCTTTTGAGGTTTGTCTCCTCAAACTCAATTCTCTTTTGTTGCACCGACAATTTTCATGCTAGTGTGTAGGTGTCTGGGGTTGGACTTACGTCACACTAGAAGATATGTTTATATTCAATTGATTTATTAGTATCTTATATCAGTATTACTATTGGCGTTAATGCCTTGGTGTGTATCTGTGTCTGTGTCTGAGTTGAAGATTGAAGTAGCAGTTTGATAGCTACTTCAATGCGTCAGTGTGTGTCTGGTATCTGTATTTGTGTCAAAGTTGAATTAGCAATTCGATAGCTACTTCTATACGTTGGTGTGTGTCTGATATTCGTGTCTGTGTTAGAGTTGAAGTAGCTGTTTGATAGCTACTTCAATACGTCTGTGTGTGTGTGATATTCGTGTCTGTGTTAGAGTTGAAGTAGCTGTTTGATAGCTACTTCAATGCGTCTGTGTGTATCTGGTATTCGTGTCTGTGTTAGAGTTGAAGTAGCTGTTTGATAGCTACTTCAATGTGTCTGTGTGTGTCTGGTATTAGTGTCTATGGTAGTGTCAGGGTAAGTGTAATGTAGTTTAGTAACAAAAGAAGAAGAGGGTTTATGTTTCAGGTTTTATCTTCTCGTCTTGGACGAAAGCCGGAGGATATTGTCAAGTTAGATGCTAATGAGAATCCTTACGGCCCTCCTCCAGAGGTGAGCTTTTTTTAGCTATTTTCTTCTCACTAGTGAACTATTATTAATTAGTAGTATAATGTTAAAATTGAAAAGCTCATTGTTTTTGATTGTGTTATTTTGACACACATTTAACATCGAATTTCAACAACAAATTAAAGATGGTTAACATAGTTCGGATATGTGGTTCATTAGATTTAGTAAATGTTAACGAATATAACAAGGTGTTGCAACTCATTAACCATCCACATAACACAATTAATCACAATTTTAAATGTCATTATGTTCAAATGTACATGATATTGATTAACCATGATTTGTTTGTGTTCAAATATACACTTGAAAATTGTTGTTATTGTGTTCGGTTGATTTCTGACACATTGAAATATCCATTAACTGTCCACTGAAATGCGTTAGCCACGTATTTGAACTTCGTCAACCATCTAATTTGTTATTGAAATTGATCTCAAATTTTTGTCTAACTATCATTTCTCTTATTTTATTGCTTTATGTTTTTAATCTCTTCTCTTGGTTATGTTTAAGTGTATTGTCTCTTGAGTTGACTATTGGAGGTTTGACAGGTCATGGAAGCCCTAGGGTCAATACAATTCCCATATGTCTATCCAGATCCAGAGAGCCGCCGGTTGCGTGAAGCTCTCGCTCTAGATTCAGGCCTTGAATCTGAATATATTCTCGCAGGATGTGGTGCCGACGAGCTTATTGATTTGATCATGCGGTTAGAACCATTTCATTTTGTGTTTTTCATAGCTTCAATTTTTTTCGTCTTTTTTTGCTAATTTTTCTCATAGCTAGCTATGAGCCTATTACAACTCATTCTCATTTTCAGTTGTGTGCTTGATCCTGGTGACAAGATTGTCGACTGCCCTCCAACTTTCACAATGTATGAATTTGATGCCGCAGTTAACGGAGCACTCGTCATCAAAGGTTAGAATAACATTTTCAAATTTTTATCGTTGTTCCGAATCTCCTCTTAGCGGTCTTTGGTTCTGTTATCAATTTCATATTTTTGTTATTATGTCATATCAACTACGGGTGGCAACGGGCATGCCCACCCGCAAAAACACGGGGCGGGGCGGGCATTGTTGAGGGCCAGACATAAATCCTTGGCCCGCCCAACAAAAAAACGAGGGCAGGATGGGCTTGCGGGCACTTCACCTTTAATGCCTAAAAATTTTGAAAATTTATGTTAATGCCCACGTCTGCAAAAATACGGGGTAGGGCGGGCATATTAGAGGGTGCAAGCCTAAAACCTTGGTCCTCCCCGCGAAAAAGTGGGAGCCCGTATTGCCAATGCTAATGTCAACTGTGCATAAATGTCTTCATTATTTATACTGTAGTTCCAAGGAGGCCAGACTTCAGCTTGAATGTGGAACACATAATCGAGGTTGTTAAACAAGAGAAGCCCAAATGCATATTTTTAACATCTCCAAACAATCCAGATGGGAGGTAACTGTCAAAAATCTCTTTTTTCAGTATCTTTACACTTGTGAAGGGATGCCCGTCATGGCGACGCATATTCCACAGTGCCATGTTTATACGGCGGACTTTTGGCCTTCGGCCACATTCCACAATCAGCTTACACTGTTTAGGAAACTAGGTACCTGAATTTGATTTTTTTTTTTTTGGAATTTGAGTTTGAACCTAATTCAATTCCAAAAGCTTGTTATGGTGTTAGGGATGCCACCAATTATAACCTATGAAACACGGACACCTCTAGGAGAAGGCATGATGCGGTGTCCGACACGTGTCAGTGTCCGACACTTGTATGACACTCTTACGACATGTGTTCAAAAAGTCAGACAAATGTCCCAATAAAATGGTGTTTTTCTTTGCTTCGATGTTCTTTGAATCAGTGTCCGACACCCATATGACGCTCATACAACACGTGTCGGACTATTCAGACTAATGCTTCAAAAACAAATTGTTTTTCTCTTTACTTCAACACACCTTATACATATATTGGACGAATCTCACACACTTCTAAACATGTAGTGAAGTAATGCTATTAATGGAAAATTAAAGACATTAATTTTGATTGGAATTTTTTTAATTATTTTAATAATAGATGGATAAATGAAGCTTAAATATTATCATATATATATATATATATGTGTCGGTGACCTATGTTTTTTACATTATTGGTGTTAGAATATCCGTACTCGTGTCGTGCCGTGGTGTCTGTGTTGGAGTCGGTGCTTCATAGATTATAACTGCCAATTTAGCCTTATCATTAGTCAACATAGGATCTTAACACACCCTTCACACGAGACTAAGGACTAAAGCTCATATGGTTTTCTGGACTAGAGAGGAAGAGTTGCATGTAGTTATTATGTGTTCATTTGGTATTGATTATGGAAAGCTCAGAATCAATTATGAAAGCAAAAACAAGGTCAATATAATTGAAAGTACTCTTCATATGTTTGGGTAGCAAAATAGCTTTTGTAAAAGTGTTCCGATGGAAGCAAGAGGAAGAGGAGGAGGAAAGACAAAATCTATTTAGGAATGAAGTGAGTTGAAACTAAGATCTGTCCATTGAATGTCATCGAAACTAAGATCCTATCCCCGTAGCTGTGAGTTTTGATTTGTTGTAGTTACTTGGTTCTTTTTAGTTAGGAAAATTGTGTAGGATCTGGTTCAGTTTTACTTCATTCTTTCTTGAATTATTTATGGTTTCCAGTGGGATAACAAAATTCGACAAATTTAGTGCTTATTATTATCCTTGTAATTTGCGTTTCTCTTCTGTTAGCTTCTGATAAGTATATGAATGTAACAATTTCACAACAGTGTAATTAATGACGACGATCTCTTAAAGATACTCGAGCTTCCCATACTTGTGGTGCTGGATGAAGCATACATCGAGTTTTCACAAATTGAATCAAAGATGAGTTGGGTGAAGAAACACGAGAATCTGATTGTTCTTCGCACATTCAGCAAAAGAGCTGGTAATGCTTCTACTTTTATTTCTGCGTATACAACATGATTAGATTTCCTTGTCCTAATGTCAACCGTTAAATTCTCAGGTTTAGCTGGACTTCGTGTCGGATATGGAGCTTTTCCTTTGAGTTTAATTAAGTATCTTTGGAGAGCAAAGCAACCTTATAATGTATCCGTTGCGGCCGAAGTTTCTGCATGCGCAGCACTTGAAAATCCTACCTATCTAGAGGTTTTTCTTCTTCGTCATATATATTTATAAGTTCGCACATGTATACTAATTCATATGCACCATCAGCGTAAAGATTTCATACACGATGTAAAAGCTTTTATACTCATAGCATATTAGAATTAAACTCTAATGTAAATTGTGTCGAGCTTTAGATGACTATTGCATATTATTATTCGTAACGCAAATCAAATGGCAAAATTTAAACAGTTTTAACATACAGAATGTGAAAGATGCTTTGGTGAAAGAAAGAGGGAGGCTTTTTGAGCTTTTGAAGGCAGTTCCATTCCTTAGGCCATTTCCAAGCCATTCTAATTTCATTCTTTGTGAGGTTACATCTGGGTTTGATGCAAAGAAGCTAAAGGTACATTCATTTTCATATCTTCGCATATTCATACTTATTTATTCACTATTGAGAAACTTGAATTTGTTCTCTTAAATCGTCATTCTTCACATCTATCTCTCCCAAATCAAGAGTTACTTTATGCACATTCTTTTTGCGTATCTGAAATCAATTCGTGGACTTGTATGGTTGTCAAGTCTCAATCTAGATGTTAAAATCTTACGATTTTGCAATCTCATTCACCCTAACGATCTAGATCTTAAGTAGAATCGCATACGCAAAAAGAATGTGACATCTTTTTGTGAAAAAATTGTGAAAAAATTGTGACATCTTTGATTCTGGGTGATCCTAGCCAGTTCTAGCCACGATTGGCTACGACTATTATAAGCCGAGAAGGGTGGCAAGTTTGAACCCGCAATTTCTCACTTCTGTGTATTTAGTGTGTCAGTTTCGCCACTAAGCTCTTTGAAACCAAATAAATAAGATTTAGACTTTTTTGTGTGTGTGATCACAGGATGACCTTGCAGCAATGGGCGTGATGATTCGCCATTACAGCAGTAAAGAGCTGAAAGGCTACGTTCGAGTATCGGTTGGGAAGCCTGAACACACAGACGCGCTTATGAACTGCCTCAACATTCTATCATAGGAGTAAAATTTCAATGTGTTCGATTGATCATACAAAGAGATTCTCTTAAATAACATTCGAAACTAGAGGAAGATGTATTATGAGAATTTGAGTTAGTTAAGTTATGTAGACAATAATGAGTTCGTTTCAGATACACAACATGAATGAACCTAATTTGAAGTTGTAAGTAACATTTGTATTATGTATTTTAAGGTGGTTGATTAAGGGATAAGTTAGTTCCTTGTTTTTTTACAAAGAAAATAAATTAGGAGGAAAATTAAACGGAAAAAAAAATTTAAGATAGAAAATAAAATGAGAGAGGTGTTGTGCTTCTGTTTAGATCTTTTGATAAATCAGAGAGATTAATTTTTTTTTGTTGCAATTATTTAAGAACCACAAAGGTGCTTTTCTTACTATACTATCAATGAACGCTTTACTGAATTTTGTATAAATACCAGTTTTTTCTGGTGGCAATTATAAATGTTTGTAGAATATTTAAAAAAAATATGTAAAATTTAAAAAAAAGTAAATTATAAAAAGGTTAAAATTAATATATTTAAAAGTTGTAGGACTGTGGGTGCAGCTGCTGAGACGCCAAATAAAAAACTCTAATTATTTTAAAGGCATTATTCATTACATCCCATGACTTCCTCACACACTTTGATAAATTTTCAAAATATTTATATTTACAAAATATGAATTCCAATATTTGAATGTACAAAATATACTTCAAACTCTCGCTGAAACAAGTTAGCTCAAAGGTAAAAAAAACTTTAGATTTATTTTATCATAATTGAAATTCAGACTTATAATTTAAGTATTCGCGCTCAGACTTTTCTCTCTTTTTTCTATTTTATTTAATAAAATTTAAACAAGTGAAAATAGAGCTCACCAATGCCTACTCGTGTATCAAGATTTTTTGATCTTTCTCACAACTTCTATTCCAGTGAGTACATTAGCTTAACATATTTGTAAAGTTTTAATTCACTACATTTAAGTTACGATCATCCATCTCTCACATTTAGTAAGTTTTTTATTTTCTTACTTTTTTATTTATTTGTAAAACATGCATTTCTTAAATAGGTTATACTTATGCTATATTAGGTTACGTGTAATAGAAATGTTGAATTTGTTTTGTCCTGATTAGATTTGGTTGAAATTTTTTAACTTTTGAACTTAAAATTTGTAATGCATGCTCTATTTTTTGATTATGTGCAATCCATATTTTAAAATCCAGACTCTAAATCCGAATAATAAAATCTAAATTTCTCTATTTTGCATTTTGTTTTGAAATTTGTTATGCTAATATATTGTTTTCTCTTATTTGATTATGATATGTATTTTCTCGTTTGATTATAAGAAAAATGTCTGACAACCAACAAAGATTGAAACATGGTAGAGTGACCCAACATGCCTATGTGCGCATGGGAAAAACTAACCCCTCATGACATGTGGTTTGAGAATCGTCGTTTTTTGTCGAGCGATCATATTTCCAAAGTCATGTATCTCCAGCTCATTGCAAAATCCCATATGCTTCAGTACATATGTTGTACCCGATGGTGAACCTAATGTTGCCGTGCATAATAGTTTTCGGGGAGACCCCTCATGCCTTTCAATACTTCCTCTATATGCACATTATGTCGTTAGAAACGTGTGGGAGGGAGAGGTAGCATAAATAATTGAACTATATATGTTAAAGTTCTATGTTATAACAATAGAATTGTCTAGTGATAATGTATTTATTTTTGCAATATTGTAAGACGTTGAAATGTATCAACCATATAGTAGGAAGATAGCAAAGCTTCCGTAGCGTGATGAACATGGTTTCAAGATGAGTTGTAGCTATTTGGACTGAAGGATTTATGTAGAACTTGATATGGTTATATTAACCATGGTTTATTGTCAGCGTTTGTTGAGAAATGGTACCGTAGTGTTGCTATTGAGATAAAGATCATAGCTAGGGGAAAGTTTTAGAAAAAACACTTATGAGAGTCACTCTACAGACAATCTTAACATATGCACGACATGCATTGTAGTATAGAAGGTAGATGAGAAACAATGACGTTAGATATATCTAATTTTTTTATAGAAAAATATTGTGAAATGGTTCTATTGTAAAATGGATGAGTTTGAATTTTACTCTCTAGACGCTCAAAGATATTTTTGAGTTTTTTTTTTTTTTTTATAAAACATGTGATTACTTTCTAAGGTGTAGTCAACACCATTTTTATTCTAATCAACTAATAGAATATTTGTGCGTTTGTACGGGTATTGATCTGTTACACACATTTATTTTTAAAATATAATAAGAATGTAAAAATGAAAAACAAAATTGTTTTATCAAAAGAGTTTTTTATTTTAAAAAGAAAGATATATTCTGATTTATATAGGATCATAAATATAATTTTTTTATATATAAAAATATTTGGATGAGCTGTATATTTTACTGTATATTGTTTTGGCATTATTCATAAAAATATTTAGATCAAAAGACAATTTGTTTTCATTTACAAAAAAGTATTAAGATTCACTCATTAATTTAAAAATAACATTCTTATTAATAACATATATTAGTGAAATGAGTACATCAATAATATATAGCCCAATTTTTCATACATTATTTTAAAAAATATTATATTTTAAGTTAAAAATAATTTTATTTTCCCATTTTTTGATTCATATATTATTTTAAATATATTTACTTCTAATTTCTTTAATTGTACAAAAATATAGTAACCCGTGCGTTTGCACAGATTCTGTTATGGATACCTGTGCGTTCGCACGAAGATTGATGTGTTATGCACATTTATTTTTAAAAAATGATAAGGATGTAAAAAACTAGAACCACACACATACACACATCCACACGCACACGCGCATGTGCACGCACATGCACACACACACGTAAACGCGCGCACGCACACGCTCTCTCTCTCTCTCACACACACACACACACAAGCACACACGCACACGCACACGCACAAGCACGCACCCACGCATGCACGCACACACGTACGCACACACACACACACGCACCCACACACACACACACCCGCACACGCGCACACACACACACACACTCGCACACGCGCGCGCGTACACACACACACACTCACACTAGCACACGCGCGCGCGCACACACACACACACTCACACACACGCACGCACGCACACACACACACACACACACACACTCACTCTCTCTCTCTCTCTCTCACACACACACACACACACACACACACACACACACACACACCAGCACACGCGCGCGCACACACACACAACAATATATTTTTCCGTATGTAAATAATAATTTTGTTTTGACATTTTTTATAAAAATATTATGCAATCATTTAGTTTTTATAAATATCAGCTAATAACATATTATTTTAATTATAAAAGTAAATATTAGTAACATAAATAAATATATTTTCCCAAGTTTGGATTCATACATTATTTAAAATATATTTACTTTTATTTTTTTTAACTGTACAAAAATTGTAATAACTCGTGTGTTCGCATGGATTCTGTTCAATGTCTTGGCGGGAAAAACCATTGAGATTAAGCTATTTATTTACTTAACTTGTAAAGGAAGATTCACCACCGAACTTTATTGTTTTCAAAGGGAAAAGGTCGAACAAAACTTACAAAAAGTAAGACAAGCTAAAAAAGAGAGATCTGGATACGAGGTTTGGTTATGCAGAAGAAGATATTAGCACCCCTCACATCCGTTGTATTCGACGGGAACCACTTGCAAATTCGTGTTTATAAAAAGCTAGGTTGTTTGTTGATTAATTTTAAGTGAAAAAATATTTTGTCGTATTCGAGTGGAAAAACTCAACTTACTACCCATAAGTATGATAAAATGAGCATTTACATCATCTTGATATGAAGAACTTTTACTTGGACTTTCTCACAAGTACATCTCAACATTCAAGTGGAAAATGTCTGTCATTTCTCAGCATCTTGTAGAAGTATAGTGGTTTGCACCGCTGCAAGAATAAAATAATATCTAATCTTTTGAAAAAGGCTCTTAAAGAAAAAAGTGCATAAAGACACAAAAAAGAAGTTTGATGAGGTTTGTCTCTTTTATAATTTTGAAATGATGTTTGAATATACTTAAAGTGTTTTAGCATTTATTAAGAAAATATTTTATGGGTCACTTGACAATGTCAAGTTTTATTAAGAAAGAGGTGTGAAGTTTGAAAACAAGAAGTTTTTTGAAATAGAGAGAAGTTTTAAAAATTTAAGAAGTGGGAAGAATATGAAGAGACTCTTCTAAAGCATAAAGTAAATGGTCTCATTGTTAGGTAGCCCAAGAGAAAGTCTTTGTGTGTGCAAGTGAACTAACCATAAGAAGAGAAAGCATTTGACATTGGTCAAAACAAGCTTTTATTTTCCTTTGGATTAAGTCACAAAATGAACAAGCACATAAGAAGATGAATACCACAAGGTCCAAACAAAGATCACAAGGTCTCAAATCAAAGTCAAGTCTCATATGAATCAAAGGTCGATATGAATCTTAAGTCTTAGGTATCACAAAACTTCAAATAAATCTCAAAGTAACAGATGAACCAAAGTCTCAGATGAATCACTCAAAGAAAAGGAAAATAAACCCTAGATCTAAATCCAATAGTCCAAAGTTTTTAGGATTTTGATTATTTGTTAATGTTTTTGGTCTTTTTAAGATAAAGAAAGCAAAAATGCATAAAGTAAGAGCAAAAAGTAAAATGCTAAAATGTAAATGAAAAAAATATAAATGACATAAAAGATACATGGCATAAAATAAATTGCATTAATGTAAAATATATAAAGTAAATGTTAGCACAATTAATATTGGTTAATGTTAGTGTTAATTAGAATTAAACCGATTCGGGACAAATTTAATACTATGTTAAGCAATCGTAAGTGAACCTATATAGAAGTCACACCTTTTAGGGTCCATTCAATAAAACTTATGTGTCATACATGTTAGAGAAATGACACAAAGTCATCCTTCTAAAATAATGTAACACAAGTCA